GCATGTAAAATTAGTTATTCAAGCTTGATTTTTTTTTAAACTCACTCATTCATTTAACAAAGGTTTAGTGACTTTTTTGTCAGGACTGTTCTAGGCTCTTGCAGTATGTCAGTGAACCAGTGATCCTTCCTGTTGAGTGGTTCATATTTCACCAGCGGGAGGCCATACATTTTAGTAAGTAGCAGAACAAGGTCAAGGGTATTGGAAGTATGTGGCCGTGGTAGTGAAGGAGAAGCAGAGTACAGTAGGATAATCAGAGTAGGAACCATCAAAAACTGACCTGTGAGTGAGGACTTGAAGGAGGTATCAGGGTTTGTCATGACAAAATCAGGGAAGAGCATTGCAGACAGAAGGAAGTGCCTTCAGGCAAGATCACCCCTGGCATGTCTGAAGAAGACCAGCATGGAGGCTGTTCTGTCTGGAGCAGAGTGACTAGCAGGGGAGGGAGCCGTAGGAGATGAACTTGGAGAGTAATGGGAAGCCAGATTATATTCTAAAAACTCTGGTATTGTAGATGAGCAAACTGGGGAGCTATTGCAAGATTTTGAACAAAGGAGTCATGGTCAGACTTTTCTTTCAAAAGAGTCAGGTTGTCTGTTGTGTTTAGAATAAACTCTAGGAGAAGGACAAATGTAGCCTGGTGACTAGTTAAAAGTCTGTGGTGGGAATCCAAGTAGAAGGTGGTACTGGCTGGGACAATCATGGAGGAGGTGAGAAATGGTCAGGTTGGGACATAGTTTGAAAGGAGAACCAATCTGGTGGATTAGATGGACACAACGTATGAAAGAAAAGAGGAGTAAAGACTAAATTTTTAGCCTGAACAGCTAGAGAAATGTGTCTGCAATTCAGCCAAGATGGAGATGCCTGCTGGAAGATTGGGGGGTGGTGGGAGAAGATGAATTTTATTTTGGAAATGTTGATTTTGAGAAGTCCATTAGAAATTCAAAGGAAAATATTGAGGGGCTGTTGGATGTCTGGAGTTAATAGAGGATTGAGCTAGAGATAGGAATTTTGCATGTATTTTAAGTACTTTTGGATAATGACATGTGGAAGAGGGGTTTGAAGCCTTGACTCTGAGTTTTAGAAGAAAATAGCAGCTACAAAGCCTGTGAGATCTCTTCTTGTCTATTTTTCCTGGTTTATATATTTTTAGTCAGTGATCAGCAAATCAAAAGATTGTATATTTGGAAAATGTTTCATTCTCTTAAATTTGTTGTTTTGATTGCCCCTAAGGTCTCTTATGACAAATGCAGACTAGCATAATAACATTTGGTGAATAAGCACAAATACACTCCCCTGTTTGGGTGTAATTGTTGTCTCCATTGATGATGGAAGAAATCTAGTAAAATTCTAAAACCAAAAGACTGAGAATAAAATGTAAACATGTCACAATCTATTTGCCAGCTTTAGTACACAATAACTAGCTTCCAGAAGTTAGTCATGAAAGATAAAATGATTGTGATAAAGTTCAAAATGAGATAAGGTTTCATAAAATAGTATGGTTTTGGGGTGTTTTTTTTTTTTGCAGATGGGGAGCCAGCAGAAGTGGGAGGGGCAGGCACTAGTGATTGCAGGCACCAAAATGGAAACTGAAAAGAGAGAAAGTAATTATGTAAATTGTAATTTTGGTGAGGCCTTGAGGATTTTTAATTTACATACTGTATTTGGAAGCACACTTAGTTCTTGTTTGGAGAGATGAAAGCCTTCGTAGCCTCATCAGCAGGCTTATGGCAATGCTAGTTTCTCCCGTGTGTAGTGCACAGAAGAGTAGAAGTGGCTGAGTGGGCAGTTGGCAGCCATTCATCGCATTGATTACAGTCATTCATAAAACCCAGCAGCACTGAGGGCGGAGACAGGAGCATTTCCTTGAGGTGGTTGCAGAATGTCTTATTTGCATAAATCTTCAGTGATGCCTGAGTAGTGAGGGAATGCTCACTGCAGTTTGAAGACTGTTAGGAGCCCATGTCTGATAAATCCCTAAGTAATTAAATACTTTGCAAAGAATAAGAGGTTAAAACCTTTGAACTCCTAGTCTCTCAGCCTGTAGTAAGTCGGGGAAGTCAGCATTGTGGCACCATTTGTGGCCTCCCTCTGTCTGGCTGAAGGAATAAATTATATGTAGAGAAATAGCCACAACATGCTGAAATGTCATTGTTGTGTTTCTTAGAGTAAGAGGGTTATTATAATAACTTTATTATTATAGTCTTATTATAATAACTTTAATGCATGGGAGATAATGGGAAGTGCTGGGGCCAAACATTTTCTATATATTAGAACTGTCAAAACTCTTACATTTTTATCCCCCAAACTGTGATATGCCAGACAAAACAATTATAATTTTAGAGACATGTTAATCTACACAGGCTAACAAAAATCTTAAAAGTATATTATGTTTCTTTATGTGTCTGTGTATCTGAGTGTAGGGCTTTCTTATATCTAGAAAAAATTTTGGCTAAAAAGAAGTCAAATTAGAAAATGTAGGAGTATATACTATAAAATACATATTACCATAGTTTAGAGTCCCCTTAAATTGGTTGAACAATTAGCAATCTGGAATAAATAGATTTTTCCCCCTAAAAACTCAGATTCAGTAGCTAGCTATATTACTTTACTCCTGTGTTCAGGATATATGTTAGCATGAAAAATATAGTTTTCCTGCTTTTTAAAATTAATTAAAGCATATTAATTGATTCAAGTAAATATATTTTAAATTAAGTGTATATATATATGAGTTAATTTTAGATATATTGCTGTTGGGTATTTATGTGTTTATTTTCATTATCTAATAGAATTTAAAAGTTCAGACATTTAAATAAAGTTGTCATTTGAATGGTTTTATAGTATGAACAGGCACAGTAGTATGTCAACTGTTGTAATTTTAAACCAAAATTACTCGGTCCTTGAGATTAGATGAGAGTTTTCTTTTTTAAAGTATATTTTATTGATTATGCTATTACAGTTATCCCATTTTTTCTCCCCTTTGTCTCCCTCTACCCTGCACCCTCCTCCCCCCAGCATCCTGCCTCCCCTTAGTTCCTGTCCATGATTCTTACATGTAAGTTCTTTGGCTTCTCCATTTCCTATACTATTATTAACCTCCCCCTCTCTATTTTGTACCTACCAATTATGCTTCTTATTCCCTGTCTTTCCCTCAAAAAAAAAAGTTTTTCTTAGAAACCTACCCTAATGCTGGCTGATATTCCACATTTATTAGAAAAGAATCAACTTAAAAGCATATTTAAGGAAAAGTAATTAAGTAGCAGATTTATTTCAAACCTTTGTTATTAAATATCGGAAACTTTAAGGAAAAAAGAAAATGAACTAAGATAGAAGGTTGCATGTAGTTTCTCACAGATACAGTTCTTCAAAAAATTTTCCAAAGTTGGTGATATTTCCGATATTTTCACAAACCAGTCCATGTAGATTAAAACATGCCTTATGTGTTATTTTAAGTTGGGTGAGAATTGCTAAAGATTTTCCAGTGCCATGAAATTTAACTTCCTGGACATTGTACTCTATATAAGTTAGATTAAAACTTCAGAGTTCATAAATCCCAGGATGTTACTTCTCCCTAACAACTGCCTTATAGAATGTTCTCCTAACTCTGCAGACTGAGTGGCTGTCTGCCATACAACTGCAGTAAAACAGAAGGTCTTGTGGTTCTGGTAGATGTTCTGGACTCGCATCTCTTGACCAATCCATTAAGAGTTTAGCATTATCTCTTGACAAGTCACTTTTTTTTCTTCACCCCAAGGGGGACATGTGTTGAGGTTTTGCACTGGCACCAGTTTCTTTGCTCGTCATGTCACATACTGATTCAAGTCTTACTTGACCTTGTGTGGTTGAGCAGTGTGTTTGTGTACACATTTCTGTGTGTTGTGTCTGTGTTTCCCTGCACCATTTCCTTCAGAAGTGGAGAATTTAGCCCTTGCAGCTTTTAGCTCTGGGAAAGTTTATCTGCCAGTGCCTTACCAATAATCCACTTCTGGAAAAAACATGACTGCCCCTAAATATAAGTAGTGTAGTCAGCCCTCCAAGAAACCTCCATGAAAGTTTAAGAACACAATTTATGTTTGAGAATCCTGGGACCCAGCGGGATATTTCCATTTAGAAAAGTCTAACATGTGAGGGTCTCAGCTTTATAACCAAGGCATCCCTATTTAAAGCAATGTGTGTTTTAAAGCTTTTGAGATGAAGGAATATTGGAGCTATAGGGGTGTTTTGTGATTTCTGCCCATTAATCTCTGCGGTGCTCTGTAAGCCCTGTTGACATGAGGGTAAGAGTGTGTCCTTCTGCTGCCCTTCAGAACTCTGGTGTATCATCCACCCTCTGCATTTATATATCCTGTGGTGGAAGACTTAAGACATGAAGACCTTTTACTACTTTTTCACATTGTGAATGCATCTTCTCTATTTATTTTACACACACATGTACACACTTACTTTATATGTGAATATTTTCTTCTAACTCTTCGTCTTTTTTTAGCTTGAAGGGGATTTTTGAACATGAGGCTGTCTGGAGGCCTCTCAGATCTCTTTTTTTATTAAGAGGAAGACCTGTGTTATAATGATGGCACAAAATAGGAGTCCATATCTTTTAGTAAAGAGTCAAAGCTACAGAAAATTCTGCTCCTCTTTTAACATATCATCACAACAGCTGTTCCTATTTTTAAAGCTTTCAGATGTCTTCATATGGTGAGGGCAAAGCTTTTAGTAGCATTTCTTCTATGGGGAGAGCTTCTGACAATCATTTATTGGTGCTAAAAAGAAAGTCAAGTACAGAGGCTAGCACAGATTGTATTTGGGTATAACTGAGCTCTTGGAACCCTGAGTCAACAATTTCTAGCCCTAAGAGCTTTTCTAGGTCCTCCAGGTTACTGTTTAAGGGGCTTGCAAAGATTTTCCCCCAGACTGTGTTTTTAGTACCATGTTTAATTTCCAGGTTTGTTCTACCCTTTTTATAATTAATAGTGCGTTGTGCTGTCTATCATGCGCCCCAGGTGTGTTGTCAGGGACATGGCGAAGCCTGCTGCCTGCAAAACACCAAGAAATGCTGAAACCCAGCCCCACCAACCTTCACCGTGAGTATGGCATTGGTTTTATTGACTGAAAATGTCGTCTTACACAAATCACTGGTTACAAAATTTATTAATTCACATTACATGTGGGCATAGATACTCTGGCTACTCTGATGTATGTATGTGTAATGAAAAGGCTACTATTAGATAAAATGATCTAGAAACATGAGCTCTATGTTAAGTATCCTTGTTAAGTGATATTTCTAATACTGTATTAGGAGCATAAAACTAATTAGAGGAAAAGGACACATTTTGGGCTCTAGGGTGACAAATTCTATGCCTTTTGGATTTGGAATGCATGTGGGCTGGAGACTAAGACTCTGGGAAAGTAGGGGGGCAAGGTACACAGAGAGGGGTGGGGCATGTGAATAAGGGAAAGACATTGGCGGTCTGTCACCCACTTTCACACTAGTTGTTTAAAGGTAGTGGACACTCTGAAAGAGTGGATTGCCCACCTGCTTTTATTTTTATTATTGTAACCTCATGTATAGATTCTAGTAAAGAGTTAAATGACCAGCCAAAGGGGAAAGCAGGAAGTAGAGAAGAAACCAGATCAGTAAACTCTGGGTTGCAAATGTGGATTTTGATTAGATAAAAATGTAAAGAGCTTTGAAATTCTGCACAGTAACAAGATATAGTCAATCTTCTGAGAAGAATTATGCTTCTGGTAAGAAAAATTAAACAGCCCCTTAAAGTGTCTCAGCAGCAGCAGTACTCTTACCCTAACTACTATAGCCAAGTAGTTACTACTGGGGAGATACCTCCTTCCAAGATTTTTAGCAAAAGCCTTTGAAGAACTGTGTCCTAAGAGTGATTTTCAGATAGATTTCTTCAGCTATCTGAAAATTCTTTGAAGCAAAACTAAAATAAAATGATAAAATTGTAAAAAGTCTCCAAGAAGAAAAGTAATTTTTTAAATACTTTTGCTGTGACAAGTAATTTTTATTAGCCTTGGCAAAGACCCAAATTAAATGATGTATTTAAATGTTTATATTCTGTATACTACATACAGTCATAAATAATTTGAAATTATTTATGCTTTAGGATATAACATTTTGTTAAATAAATTTCAGGATGCTTATAGATTTATTATAAGTATCCTGAAATAAGGGTATAGATTTTATAGATGCTTATAGATTTTATCTCAATGAATATACTTGAAAATCGTTCTACCTTTAACCAGTACTTCTTAAGGACTAAAAATTATTTTGATTTAACCATAGTGAAGATGATTTATAAGTACATTGAAAATAAGTACAAAGCTTGAAGTACTATCAATGATGTTGCCATTTTTTTAATATTGTAAAGCCATTTTCCTGATGATAGAAAAACTTATGATTCTCACGTTCAGTCCTATGTTCTAGGTCATAAGAATATTTTACTTATATTAGGATTCAAGCACTTTCTTGGAAGTTTTTTGAAGAGTTCACATTTATTTTAAAATACATTCCACATGTTGAGGTTTTATTTAAATCGTCATCCCTCCCAACAAGACTTCAGATTTTTCCCCGTATTTATGTATTTATTTTTTTATTTTCCATAGACTTATACTTGTGGAGATCTGTTGCAATCCCTTTCTTATTATATACTTTTCTAATTAAATAATAAACCTTTCTGTGGGTGACTTGAAGAATTTAAAATTTGCACTCATTCCTTATTTTCTGTTGGTTCTCGCTAGCTAGTGGTGCATGCCACCTATGTATCTTTCTAGGTTGCTATGAAAAGGCAACAATAAATTGAAGGCAGGGGGTGATTAAGCTTGGGCTCTAGCTTGTAGGTCAGTGTTTTTCAATGTCCTAACCTATTCGTAGGTCTGAAAATCAATACAGGCTAGTTTTTTGTTTGTTTTTAATTTTGAATGGAATAGATTAGAAAATATAAGAATGCAACTTTGACTAGTATTAGTAGGATAAATTTAGATTTCTATATATGATAACTGGGTCAAACTATAAATAAACACTAAATTATAAGGTTGTGGGAATGGATTTTAATTAGGAGAGTGGCTTAGTCAGGTTTTTATTCCATGTATATGTGTGTATATATATACTATGTATTACTTTCCTTTGGCAGAGGTGAGGAAAGTAGAGTAGGAATGTGATGTGGACAGAACTAGAAACAAACAAATCAGTTAATAGACTATTGTAATAGTCCATAAAAATATGATAAGGACTTGACCTATAGCAGAAGCAGAGGGTGTGAGAAGGAAACATCTCAAGACCTGAGTAAGAAGTCAAATGAGATTGTCAACTTTAATATGGTTTGTAAGGAAAATGTTTGGGGGGGTGCTATCGTATCATTGATTTGGGTGATTAAGAACCATTGCCTGAGAGAGAGAATTAAAGAATCAAACCAGGCCCAGGGGCAGGTGGGGAGTGAGTAGTGCAGATTTTCATGTGATAATTTTGTGGTACCTGTGCTGTATTGAAGGGTGTTGAGTCCAGGAAGTAGTTGGATATATGAACCGGAAGCTTTGAGTTAAATGGGAAAGTAGATACCATCACCAAAGGATATCTAATTAGGGAATCAATACCAGAGAGAGTCCTAGGTAAAAACAGTGCCTAAGGAATGGATAAAGGAAGAGGATCCCCAACTCAAATTAGAACTAATAGTTAAAGAAGTAGGAGAACCTGAAGCCATGGTAGCAGAGGGATACAAGGAAAATGTCCAACAGTATCAAATGCAGCAGAAAATCAGTAAATAACTTCAGAAATTAAAAGTGTCCTTTGGGTTTAGCCATATAGAAGTCAAGGGAGACATTTGTCATAGCAGTTTTATACATAAGTGTGTGACTCCATTTCTGTGAGTGTGAGGAGGAAATAAGAAGTCAGGGGAAGGAGACGGATTGCACGTGCCTTTTTCCCAACAACTGACCGAGCAGGGGAGGGAGCTACAGTGGTATACAGAGAAATAGGAAGTAGGGTGACTGTACTTGTGTAACTTGGTCACACAAGTATGTCTAGATTGATGGACACACATGCCAATATAATTTATATCTTTGATAACTATGTGCATAAAACATCCAAAGATTGTTTATTTAGTTATTAAAATGTCAGTCACGTTTTAAGCATGCTATGTAAGCCATCATCACTTAAAATATTAAATATATAAAAATATTAGTGGAGTTCAACAAATTGAGTCTTATGCCTCTTATTCCTCAGGTATATGATATATTACATAAATAAAATAGAACTCCTGTCTTAAGACTTCCTTCTCAAGTTGGGGACAGCAATTATATAATCAAGTAAATTATAATACTACATGATAAGTGCAACACTAGAAGTATGTTTAAAAAAAGAGAGAAAATGGTTTACTCTGTTTGGGGTTGGTGTGGTCTGGAAAGTATTTACAGACCCTCCAATAGTTACTTTGAAATTTGAGGGAGGAATAGTTCAGGGGTAGGCAGGTTTGGGGCAAAGAGTTTCAGAAGGAGAGAACCTTGAGGCCCAACATAGCAGCTTGTGCTGCTGTAACATAAAGTGTGAACTCGAGGCTGGAGCCTATAACTGTGTCCGTGTGTGTGTAAGGGTGGGATTTCATGTATGTTTGGGGGGTGAGTGTGGATATAAAGTGTGAAAGAGAGGAAGAAAGGAGACAGGAAGGAGAAGTACTGCATCAGCATCTCTGAGGAATAGGACACTTGTGGAATTGGATAAAATTAGCAATACATGACTTTACCCTTAATACGGTATTTTGAAATTGGACATAATATTATGGGGTTTTTGTGTTTTTCAAAGTGACCAGGAATTTAAACGTCTTAGTTTGTTTTTACATTTAAATACTACATTTTAAACTTTGCTATAACATTATAGGGTTTTATGTGTTTCAAAGTGCATTTTTCACTTGTGTATTCATCAGTATCAATTGTGGATGTTCATGGGAATGAGTAGGAGAGGTAGTAGGGCAGATTTGAGAATGTTTTGCAGGTAGTAAAATTATAATGATTCATTAGATGTTATAATAAAGCAAAGAAGAGAAGAAATAACTCACTTTAGCTCAAGAGATTAAGTGAATGTGATAAAATTAAAAGAGAATTAATTTAGGTACTAAAACAAATTTAGGTTTCACATTAGGCTTGTGTATTAGTGGCCAATTAAAATATCCAGAAGACAGTTGGCAATTCATATCCCAAACTCAGGAGAGACTTAGATGAGATAAACTAATTTGTGAGTAATTACTTTATAGTAAAAACCATAAAGATAAGTGAAATAGCATAGGAAGGTGTACAATTAGAAGGAAAGAATGTAAAAGTCAGTATAGAGGATCTCTCCAGTAGTTAAACAAAGAGCAGTGGAATTGAGTACCATAAATTATGCAAGATCATGCCAGAATAAACTCGTCTCAGTTTTCCTGGAATTTTCTGTGTTTTAGTACCAAAAGTCTTGTGTCATGAGAACCCTTGCTTAGTCCTGGGAAAACTGGAATGGTTGATCACACCAGTGCCGATAAAGTTGGCATTTGAAAGTAAAAATCTAGAAAAAGAGTTGATAGCCAAGCAAAAAATATGCATAGCAAATAATGTTTATGTGACAGTGGAAGGTGACATTATTAGAAATAAATTGAATGCAGCGAGGTATGTAGATCATAGTTCAGTTTAGTCTTTTTTGTTTTGCTTTGTTTTTGTTGGTGATTGTCTGCTTTTTAAAATTAAGATATAATTCACATATCATACATACAACTCACCTTTTTAAAGGGTACAGTTGAGTGGTTTTCACAAGCTCTTGCAACTGTCACCACCATGCAACTTCAGAACATTTCGACCCTCCGAAAGAAGCGTAATGTCCATTTGCAGTCATCCCCTGTTCCTCCCCAAACCCAGCTCTTAGCAACTACTGGCCTACTTTCTGTCTCTATGAATTTACCTGTTCTGAACATTTAATATAAATGGAATCATACAATATATGATTATTGATGGGTGGCTTTTATTATTTACAATATTCTCAAGATTCATTCATGTTGTAGCATATATCAGTGTCTCATTACTTTTATTGCCCAACAATATTCCA